AAAAGCAAAGATGCTTTTTTCTCTCAAGCCTTTATTAACCCCCCCTCCATGTTTAATTATTAGCGTTCTATAGTTTTATTGGTTGATTTATCAGATTGTTCCAGTTTGGTGTAGTGGTTAAGTGCGTGGACTCTAATCTGGTAGAACCGGGTTTGATTTCCCACTCCTCCACTTGCAGCTGCTGGATGACCTTGGGCAAGCCATAGTTCTAACAAGACCTGTCCTTGAAAGGGCAGTTTCTGTCAGAACTGTCTCAGCTGCACCTACCTCACAGGGTGTCTGTTGTGGGGAGGGAAAGGGAAAGGAGTTTGTAAACCGCTCTGAGACTCTGAGTGAAGGATGGGGTATAAAACCAATCTCCTCTTCTTCTTGTATCCCACCATTCTTTCAATAGGCTGTGGCAATCCTTAAAAGTCCCACCTCTCCCAGGGCTCTGAATCAATCCTTGTGATTTAGGCCTCATGCAAATCCAAGTGATTTTCAGCCAGCCAGAGTCCATGGGGGTCGGCTTAGGGAAGAAAGCTTACTTTAGTGTGACAAATAAGTACCCTGTTAAGTGGCCATCATTCCTAACTGGTGTGTGTGGGTTCTGTGGTAAGGTGCTCTGTCAGAGAAAAGAGCAGCCTTGAACCTGCTGAGGTACCCTGTCCAGAGTAAGGGGCATCAAATCTCCCCTCAGGGGTTATTTACTTTATTTGAGAGCCAGCTTTATGTATCTTAAATTACCCACACATCATGTTTACCTTATAAATACTTATTAAATGCTTCATTTTCTGTTAAATAAACCTTTATTGTTCATCTCCATCTGTTTCTTGTCCATCAAGACAAAAATCTAACAAGTAGGGGTTTCTATTTACTTCACATATTGCAGCCTTAGTCTAATTTCCAAATAAGAGACCATTAGAGAGCACATGTGTCCCCCCTCTTTATTTGATTGTGGGTAGATGAGGGTAAAAAAAAAATCTATAGGAGAGTCCAGAGCAATGTTCCCTCTAGGCTGCGGAGTCCTCTGAGCAAAAATTCTACTTTGTGAGCTACTGGCATTTAAAGTTGTGAGCGAGCAATTTGGCCGCTGCATCAGTTAGTTTGCTCTGGAGCCATCCTTCCTGAGCGAAGACAAAAATGTGTGAGCTGGAGGCTGAAAACCTGTGAGCTAGCTCACACTAACTCAGCTTAGAGGGAACACTGGTCCAGAGTTGGGGACTGGATATTCTTCAGTCCAAAAGACAGCTCAACAGCAACAGCAGCAGCCATCCTCCTCCTCCTCCTCCTCCTCCTGCTCCCCCCCATTCTGACCTATTGGCTACCCATGTTGTGCCACATCATTAAGATAATTGAAAACAGAGAGTTGACCATCCACAAAGACATGGCTGATGTGGACCTATCTTGACTAAGATTCCAACACTCAGGAATAAGATCTGCACAAAACCTGCAATCACAAAATTTCGATCTAGGGAATTAATGTTTGCGAACATGGATGCAATCAGTTCCACCTGATATCCACCAACGAGAGGCCCTCAGGATTTGACCTGCCACATAAAGTATGGAAGATGGCTAGTAGAATATGAACAGGCTTTGGCAGTTGTGCAAAATGGAGCAAAATACCAGGACCTGAATTCTATTGTGGTGCAGCCCACCAAACTGTTCTCCATCTGTCACAGGAATGTGAGCGTTGTGTTTTCTAGGGAGATGTGATGGAGCTCTTTGAACTCTCCCCAGCTGTGATTGAGTGGATTAAAATTTAGATATTAGTATTTAGGGGGATTACCCAATTGGTCTGCATACTCATTGTATCAACTTGGCTACATATAGTATATTATGATATGTTTCCTGTGTGTAACTCTGCTATACAATAAATAAATAAATAACCACATACCGTCACAAGGCTTCCACTTGTTTTATGTTGGCTGATACAGGTTATAACAGTTCCATCCTAAGCTTAGTTACACCCTTCTAAGTCTCCTGACTTCAATGGACTTAGAAGGTATAACTTTGTTTAAGATGGCTTTGTAAGAGCACCACACCAGTGTGGTTGGAGTGGGATCTGGGAAGTCTGTGTTCAAATCCTTGCTTGCCATAAGAGAACATAAGAACATAAGAGATGCCAATGTTGGATCAGGCCAAAGGCCCATCCAGTCCAACACTCTGATTCACACAGTGGCCAGAAATACCAGGAGCCATCAGGAGGTCCACCAGTGGGGCTAGGACATTAGAAGCCCTCCCACTGTTGACCCCCCCCCAAGCACCTAGATGACAGAGCATCACTTGCCCCAGAGTCCCTATCTGTACCTTGTGGCTAATAGCCACTGATGGACCTCTGCTCCATATGCTTATCTAATTCCCTTTTGAAGCCGTCCATGCTTGTAGCCGCCATAAATCTTACTGAGTGACCTTGGGCCAGCCATGCTTCCCTAGCCTAACCTTGCAGTGTTAGCCTCAGCCTCCTGGAGTTGTGAGGATAAAACGGAGGAGGGGAGAACAAAGTATGCCAGCCTGAGCTCCTTGGAGGAAGGGTGGGATAAAAAGGTGCTACATAATAGATAGTTCTGCTGGTTGTAGATATTGTTGTAAGCTGCAGGCATTTACACAGAGAAGCAGGGAATAAACATTTTAAGTAAATATGTAACGGCATATTCTGCATAGTATATAACTGCATAGTGTTCCAGCTTGCCTTCGCGCCACCTTATTTTCTTTCTCCGTTGCCTGTCTTGAATCGATTATTAAAGTGCAAGCTCTTTAGGGCAAGGATATATCTTTTTGACATTGCTCTGCAAAGCTCCACTGATGGTGTTCTAGTAGCACTAATAATATAAAACTGATGCCATTGAGCCTGCTGCATCCAAAAAGCTTGCAGTAGCTATCCTGGCAAGTGGATCAGCAGGCAGTGTGCCCATTCCTTAGAGTGACAGCTTCTTGGTGAGTCTAGAGAAGCACAGGGAAAAAGCCTGCAGAGACAGTGTAGTTAGTAGCTGTTGGGAAAGGAGTAAATATCGGAGGACACCAGACATGTGGGATCCTCCCGTTGTGATTAGTACGTCCATCCTCCACTTAATGGAAGGCGCTTTAGGGGTATACATTTCTGGAACGTTTTGACATCTTTACATCTTCTCATAATGACCATCTTACCATTGGAGATTGGGAGGAAAGGGCTAGCAATATTAGTGGTAGCCCTAGGCAACTGTCTGCTACTGAATTAGGGAGCATTGGTGATGGACAAATGAGCCAGTCCTGGCTTTTCCACATTCCATCTTTCCCTTTGGATTTCCAGTACTTTTTATTTCTATAGAAATGGGGTGCAAACGTAGAGTTATCTGAGATAAACTGGAACGGGTACTTTGTCCTGTTTGAGAAAGAAATCAGTATTTCTTTGGTGTTCTGTCAGTGTCAAGGGCTGGACAATGCAGGGACATGATGTTACCCAGAACTTACCTGAGCAAAGACAAATATAGAGGCTACTTCTTCCTGGCCTTGTTCTATTCAATTTTATATGAATTCCACAATTGCCCATATCATGTGTGTGGGCTAAGACGGATACTTGGTCCAGATAGCAGATGAGTTGGATAGAAATGCAGAACTGGAGGAGGGAGCTCTGACACGAGATTCCCTGGCCTTAATGTCATTAGTTTATTACAACTGGACAAAGTGCTGTATGGTTATCAAGATGGCACACAACTGCTTTATCAGCTTTGCTAGCTGAAGAAGTGTGCATGCACATGAAAGCTTATGCCCAGAATAAAACTTTGTTGGTCTTAAAAATGCCACTGGACTCAAACTTTGTTCTGCTGCTTCAGACTAACACAGCTACCCACCTGAATCTTTGGTATATGGGGGCAGTTATCTTTTTTCCTAATTTTGTGTATGTGTCTCAAAGGACTCTGGATTAAGGGCATGTATGCTGCAGTTTCCCAGGCTGGTAAAGAATGAGGAAGAGCTGACTTGCAGAGTGGAGTGCCTAGAGTTGGAGAACTACCTGGGGCTTAGCAAGTATAGAGGTGTACTTGGAAGAACAGGTGCATCATGGTCCATCTAGGTTGGTTGCAACACCCAGGCAAATGCCAATGCCAGGTGAAGGGAATTAAGGATTCTGCATTCTGAAGCAAAGACCATGAGGTTACAAGGGCAGCTTTCAAACATCTAAAAGATTCTCATTTCTTACTCAGCAATTTTTTCAAAATATCAAAACCCTTAATCCTTTCAGAGGAAAAAAGATGGATTCTCATAGAGGCCCATGTTTCCCCCCAAATATTTAAGTATGCTTTTTAGTTCTTCAGAAAATATAATTTAATAATTAACATTTACAGCAGATGCTCCCAGGAGGCAGCATTATTGACAGTGGCCAAGACCAAACTTCCCCACCCCACAACGCTGCTGGACATGAGCAGCTGCAAACACCCTGACGATTCGATTCTTATTTGGACTGTCTGTTCAGCACTATTGGCTTCTTCTTTCTGCAAGAGGGTGTTCTCCATCTCTATGTGTCCTGTACAACTTACTCTCTTCGTGTACTCCACGTGCTCCATCTGGTGTTCAACAGCCGCATAGCTTGCTGTTCTCTTTTTTGGATGCTTCTGCCTCTTGCCAGCAGGGGGAGTGGCTCCCACATGAATAAAGCTTAGCCAGGCTTCTGAGGTCCTTTTTGTCAACGGCAGTTTCAGGAACAGTGGGTGCATAATGGGTGCATCTTGCTCGTGCACAGTTCTGTAAAGAAAGGGCAGGAGTCCCCCCCCCCCCGAGCCTTGTCACCTGTACACAAAGTGGCACAAAGTCCTCACACTATGACCATTGTCTCTGCAGAAGACACAGGGTTTAAGATGTTTCCCAGGCTGTCAGTACCACACAAAGGAGGCCAGCAGAGGCAGCTTTCCTGGATCTGCCTTTTTTGTAGAGGATTCAAGTTTCCCTTATCTTCCAAGTGTCTGCAGCAGCATCTCTGTAC